AAGAGATGCTATGGACAGAATATTTGTATGCCTTCCCCCAAATTCACATGTTGAAATCTGCTCCCCAGTGTGATGGTATTTGGAGGTGGGGCCTTTGGGAGATGATTAGGTCATGAGGATGGGGTCCTCATGAATGAGATTAGTGCCCTTATAAGAAGAAGCCAGAGAGCTAGCTTCCTGCCTTTTCTGCCATGTGAGAATATAAGAAGTCAGCCACCTACACACCAGGAGAGGGTCCTCACCAGAACCTGATCATGTTGGAACCCTGATCACAGACTACCAGCCTCCAGAATTATGAGAAATAAATCTCTGTTGTTTATAAGCCACCCAGTCTATGATACTTTGTTATAGCAGCCGGAACAGAGGAAGACCAGAGAGAACATGCCACTCACCATCTTTGAATAAGTGATGGAAAACCATTAAGGACAGAAAAGTCTATGGCCATTGATGTGAAGAATTCTTTAATCATGTTCCTTAACAAGAAAATGCAAGGTAAAAAAATAAATTCCTAGAGCTGGGAGAACAAAACAGCCCTATATTGGATGGGGCAGGAGAGATGCAAAGAGGAGGAAGACAGAGATGTACAGGATGAAAGCACAATGCTCTCCTTGCATCCCCTCCTCTACGCCATGAATGGAGGCTGCCATTGCTCAAAGCTTGTCATTGCCTGAGTCAAGGACTAAATCCCAGCTTCATAAAGTTGCTCTAATGATTCAGTGCCATGGGGCCATGGGCTCCTCCTTCAAACAATTGACCTCAGCTAGTTATCTCCATAGTAACAGCTGACATCCCAAACTGTTCTTTCCTGTGTGGGAAGAAACATTTCAGAAATGGGGAAAGGCAAAACTGAACAGTGGTTTTTCTCTCTTATGACCTTCTTCTTTGGCAAATCATATCCTTTTCCTGAACGTTGCCGTCTCCTGAGGAAACCGTGCACAGAAGAGAAGGTTCAGTGACTTTAATTTGCAGATGTCTGTCCAGGATACATTTTTAAAAAGTAGAAGCCTGTGGCTGCTTTTCCTTTAATTTCATGCAGCACTCAGTATTTCGCAGGTGGTTTCACCATTCTTGTCATTAGCAGCTCCCCCACCCCCAAAGAGAAAGGCCAGCATGTCTCCCTCATGGTGAAAGAGAGAGACGGCAGGTCAGAGAGGCTGGGTACTTTCTGCACAACTCCAGAGCAACAAAGCCACAGAGGTTTTCTTCTAGGCTGCTAGAAAGCCAGGCAAAATAAGGCTGAGTCTCTACTGAGCCCCATCTACACCCTGTCTTCCTGAGGTCCAGACCCTGCCTGAGCCACTGTCCTGGTCAACGAGCTGACATGTCTCCCTCCAGCCCTAGGCTCCACCTCCTGTCCCATAACCCATGACTCCCTGTAGTTTTCTCCAGCTGGCTGCCTAGATTGCGGGTAAGGCAAATGTAGGCTCCGTCTCTACCTGGAGTATCAGTTGCATTGTAAGCTCAATGTTCTGTCTGTTCCACAATGTCTATGACTGGAGTGACATTTTATAGGATGATAAATGACCCTTCTCTAGCTGAGCCCTGGAAGTGCGTGCCTGACCACAAACCCCTCCAGTTGCAGCTCTCAAATGTACCATGGGGTCTACCTTCCAACCAGAATCATGAGCCAAGAGTACTCTTTCCCTGGCCCAATTTCAGCCTTTCCCAGTAATTTGGATCCCATGGTTCTGTCCCTGAAAGAAAGCTTTTTCTCTGCAGCATCCCCGCCTGACTCTGACGTACAAAGGTGTAATTAGAACAGCATGGAGCAAGCAGGATGATCCATTTACCTCATCCCTAACATTTAAGTGCTTTAAAATATGTTTCTAATATCCTAGGTGCGTGGGGCCAAATTTCCTTCTCAGATTTTCACATGCATGAGTAAATCCACACAGACTAAACCCCTTGGGCCTTAGGTTCTGCTTAGAAGTTCTTTTTTTTTTAAAGAAAACAAATATTCCATTAAAACGACATAGTGTACTCTGCATATTTTTAGGACAATTAGAGTTTAGAATTCCCTCTTCTTCCGCCCCTGGTTTAAAAAAAAAAAAATGTTTTAACTCTTTCCTCCCCAAGAATGACATATTAAGCCTGGATAAATTGAAAGGCTTTCTTGTTTTTAAAATCATGTCTTCATCTTACGTTGTCAAAATACCAACTGGTGAATTGGGATCCTGGATGTGCTTTGAGAAGAATCCAGGCTCCGCTGTACTTTTGCCAGATAAAGACTTTAGGGAGACAGTTATTTGGGAACCTAATAGAAACATTTACTTGAAATTGAAAAGCTAAACTCACTGGAAACGGAGAAACATAAAAGTAAGGTCACCCTCTACCATCTCCTTGACTCAAAATGGGTCTGGTTTGGGTCATTTTTCTTCGGCACTTCCGACTGTGTAAATAAAATCATAAAGGAGAGGCCGCAGCAGGCTGGCGGGACCTCAGCCTGGGGGGCGGAGCGAAAGCAAGACCAAGTGGGAGGAGCGAGCGGGTCAGGTGACCGGGAGGGGGCGGGAGCGACAACCCCGGCTCAGGCCCGCGTGCTCCGCTGTGTTCAGAAGTTTTGCGGGTGTGCGCACCGCTCGGCTCCCTGCCCCTTAGTCTGTGCTGCCGTGGCCACTTGTGGGTCATATTTGCCTAGACAACATGCAAACCAGATGTGTCCTTGCGACCAAATTTGGAGCAACATCTTTGCACCAGGTTGCCCTGTCCGTCTGCATGTTCAAATTCAAGGGCTCCACAGCCCCCAAATGTAAAAGAGAGGAGGATGTCAGACCCATCTGCAGCTTGGGTTTTTATTATGATTATTATTATTATTCATTGCAAAGCATATCAAAGGATGGGAAAGCCCAGTCCCGCTCCCTCCGTGACTCAGGCAGAAATAAGATGCACCTTCCTGGGAGTCTGACCCGGAAAGATGACCCGGATCCAGAGACGGCTTGGGAAATGTCTGGGATGTCCTGGAAACTAGGAATCATATTGAAGAATCGAAGAGAGAGCTCATAATTTCTTCGGGAAAATGTGTTTGTTTATTTAAATTAAAAAATAGTGTGAAAATTACAAACTGTTAAATACAGAAGACGATTTTATACAACTTAATAGAATAAGAAGGAAGTATATACATCACTTTTTTAACAGGCGCAGATAGACTTGCACCAAACTTCAGGATTAAGCAATGGAAAATGTGACAACGCACATGTCCCTCGCAGTAAAGCTTCAGAATTCAAGTGATTCCAGGCAAGGGGCCAAACTGAACTTGGCTTCTTTCACCTCAAACAGCCCCCTTTGGAGTAAATCCACACTCTGAATTTTAAAGTGAACGGAGGGCCCTTTTCCCCCAAAACATAAATGTCCTCTAGCACTGTGTGAGGGCAAACTGATAAACCAGCTCATCTACTGTTAACCCTTATGGGAACAGTAGTTACTGCTATCTTCAATCAAGGAAGAGCATGTTTAAAACAAAAAAAAAAAAAAAATTTTTTTTTTTGTTTTTACTAGAATTAAATTTGACCTTTTGGTGTGTTTCTCTTCCTGCTTGCCTTTAAGGGCCTAATGGGTCTGTTATAAAGCTACTGACCGCAGGAATACACGGAGATATTAGCAAGCATTCCTGAACATTTGCTTTTAGATTTCTGGTTTCTCGGCTGAAGCATTAACATTCTACTACCCAGGGAACTTTGCAGAGTAAAATGTGATATCTGCCTCCCTAGTTCACTGCCGGGAAAATGACAGCATGAACGGGGTGGTTATTCGTCCTGAATTTCCCAGTTACATGTGTTCTGAGTCTCCAACTGCAACTTTAAATAAGCAGATCTGTTCTCAGACTAACTGGCCAAGTGGGAAATATTTTCTCCAAGCTTCCTCACACCAGGCCATACAGGATTTATCACAGAGTCTTAAAATCCAAAGACATCCTCCCAGCCCCCTGGGGTTGTAGATTCAGGAGTCTCATAAAGGCAGTAAGCCTCTTGATGACATGCCCAGGACCACACAGCATATCAGTGTCAGGGCTTGGGATCGGAAAACAGAACCTGGACCCCCGCTTTGTACAACCTCCACCTGAGTATGCCCTTCTAGGTCTCGGCTACGTGACAAAAAGCCATATCGTGGAGGCCCACTTTATGTCAGCTCCCAGCTCAGAAAACTAGGCTGGGAAAAAAGCAGCAGCAGAGCTAACGGCTTGGCCTTGTTCAACCCCACCATTACCCCTTCTAGAAAGATCAGGAAGAGTCCCCTGCACAGCTATTCAGAGTGCAGGTTCGATTCTGGGGAAGCCCTTCCAACCAAGAAAACGTCATGCCAGCATGCGATGCTGGATGGTCGGAGGTCAGAGGCCAAGGTCATAGGTTAGACAAAGCCTCAAAATAACAGATTCTGTTTTATAATCCCAGCTAATGTTAACAGGTTGTCAAAGTTGCTTTTTTTTTCTTACAGTATGCAAAAGAACCAGGTTTGACTCTCCAGCTTTTTGCCATCAAAAACCCTCCATCAGATATCCCCCTCTAACCCAAAAAACCTCCAAAGGAAGCTCTGTAACCTGCTGGGAACACCGTAGGGGTACTTACAGCCCATCAGATCTAGAGCAAAGCTCTAGGCAGATTAGCAGATCAGAACCAGTCCCTCTGCATGTTCTAGGCATTGGGCAGCCTTGGGAGTGGGCAGATGCCCCAGGGGTTACCCAGGGCATCCAGCGAGAAAACAGCAGCAAGCACAGCGACCTGCCGAATTCGGAACTGGAACCCCAAGCCCCAGACCCCAAAGTCAAAGTGCACACTGCACATCTTCGGGGCTTTTCAGTGGCAGGTCTGCACCACAGGCCTGGCGTAGACTCCTGGCTGCTGACTCCAGTGGAGTCTTGTCCCCCACCGCCCCCACGCAGGGGCTCGCCAACAGTCTCTTTAAAGTGACAGCTGCCCTGTAAAAGCGAAACCGGACACGGGAAGTGTCCTTCCTCTCTCTAAGGGTGCTGGCTGATGGGGCCGCCTCCAGGGGCCCTGGGGGTGCTAGGAATTCTGATGGATGTTCTCTGAGGACCCTTCGCTGCTTTCGTTGAGGAGCGTCTCTGAAGTCTCCCCCAGCTCATCATCTGCCCCCTCCTCCTGGATGGTGAGGTGCACGTCTGGGGACGAGGACTCGGAGCTCACGCTGTCTCCTTCCATGGAGCAGAGGGTACAGGACAGGGCAGGCGCCACACTCTCCTGCAGCATGTTCAGCATCATGGGCACCTGCACCGACCTCAGGCCCGACACCATGGGCAGCGGCTTCATGGCCTCCCCCCAGAGCCTCTCCTCATCTTTGTACAGCAGCAGGAGGCTGGACTTCTTCTCCCGCCTCTTAGATTTCATATAGCCCAGCATGATTCCGATCAAGAAAATGCCGTAGAAGGACATGACCACCAGAACGTAGAAGTATTCGTTGCCGTTGCCGCTCTCACTGCCGGGCACGTGGGACACCAGGTGGCTGCTAGGGGCTGCGGTGCTGGGGTGCGTGCTGTTCAGAGGCTCCATCTTCAGCATTGAAGCGCCGCGCACACAGCCGGGGTCTGGGGAGAAACCTGCAGGTTAGAACTCTCCCACGGGCCCACGGTGCAGGGAGGAGGCTGAGCAGGAGGTTTGTGGGATTGCAGCATCAAGAACGCTGATAACTGCATGGAGAAATCCTGGTAAGAAGGCCCACAAAACAGCTAACAGGGGTTAGGTATGAGAGGCCGGGGTGGATGGAGGGAAGGCAGAGAGGGATAGGGAGACATATGACAAGGACTTTCCTTTTTCAGAGTGTACGTGTCCTCGCATCTGCACTTCATAAAGTAAGCGTGTAAGAAGCATTGCTTTGATCGTTTTAAAAGCCAAAGGTGAAAATCAGTCTAAGACAAGGGAGCATAGAGAAAATAAATCACATTTTAGTCACTGGGAAACTTTTTCTAACTGAGCAGAGAAAAAAAAAAAAGAAAGCTTACGTGTTGCTTCTCAAACATAAGCTTATTTTTAATTCAAAGCCAAGTTTCCTAAGAACAGAGAAAGGGAAGGAAAACCTCATCTACTCATTGCACAAAACAGCCCTCTCTCAAATGTTTCTGAAGCCCAGCTGCATTGCCGACTTACCCAAGGCTGGCAAATTCTTCCGAAGTCCTGGGTTGCTAAATGGCCAAGTCTGAGGGCGTCCTTCCTCTCTGCGGGGCTCCGCGCTCTGACAACTCTGCCTCTGCCCTTGGGATATATAGTCAAGAAATGCATCGTCACGTGTTCTGGGAGGAAGATTTACAACAGAGGTTGGTCGTGGCAGAGTGAACAGCACTGCGGTTCAACTCACTGAACTTCGCAGCTGTGAAAAGAAAGAGACTGGGAATCGGGGATTGCTCCTCGCCTCCGCCCCCCCTCCCCCAGCCCCGAGCCAAAGTTTCCAGGTGGCCCTGAAAACGAGTGGAAAGAAGAGAAAGAATGTGCCCAGTTGGAACTGTTATCCCAAGGTCCACTCTCATTCGAAATGAGTTCGTGCTTCATCTCCCTCTTGGGGAATAACCATGATGCCTTCCGCAGGTTTTCAGAGACAGTCAAATACCATCGACTGGATAAAAGACATTTGGAAGCAAGTGCAGGATTTACTGTCAAGAAACTCGGGCTTATGTCTCAGTTCTTCCACTAACAATGCAAATGTCATAAATCCTTACTGAACCTTTCTGCGCCTCAGATGCCTGATCTGTAAAATTGCTGGATGTGGGAGCTTCGACATGGAGAATTAGATGAACCATGTGAACTTTTGAATCCCTGTCAGCTTCATCATTCTAAGATTTAAGGCTGCCTGGTACAGGGGAGCCTTTTTAAAACATGGAGAGGTTCTACCGTCTTTTGCATCAAGCTCATAGATTTATTTTTTATAATTAAAATATATCTTCCAGATTCTTTTCAGTCGCCCATGTGAAGTGAAAATGGATTATGGTGCAAGACACTGTGGGCAGGTTGGGCTCCTGTTCAATGGCACATCGCTACTCCTCCATAGCGTCCCACAGAGACCATCCACACATCTCTTTGCTGTCTCTGGCGGGTCAGGGGAGGAGCAGAAATTCTCCTGGTGACCTGCTGAGCACAGTTCAAGCTTTTAAAACCTATGCAAACCTTGTGTTAAAATGGTCGCTGTGATCAAAATTGGAAAAAGAATTGAAGACTTTGATGTCATTGCATCTGCTCCCCGGGATGCTTATTCTGAGAGGCTATTATTCTAAGTTAAAGTAAACTGGGAGGGATGCTCTGTTCCCAGTGGTCTGGTGGCCTATGAATTGCAGCCAGACTGTCTTGGGGAATCAACTCTAGAGAAAACATTTCTCGTGGTTCTGCTGTTGTTCAACTGAAGCTGGGGGAGAGCATGGCAATATCTTCTTCCCCATCTGGAACATACATAGCCCACACACTGGGACGTTCATGGCTGCTACACGAACCCACCCAGGTTAGCGCCTGGCTCTAAGTCTGTCCGGATACCTGTGGAAAGAGCAGGCTAATGAGCACAGGATGCTCTTTTCCCCACTGGTCTACTTGTGTTATGGTTTAGGCTGTGTTCACCCGTAAGTCCACAACTGGCTTCAAGGTATAACCCCTGACCATTCCAACACCAAGATCATCCGTACACTGGACTTCTGCTCACGCCAATAAAGACATCCTTACAGTTGTATCAATACTTGAAAAGTTCCACAGCTACCTTGACCAAGGTAGATTTGGCCTTTTCAACTTGTATTTATCATAAGTACCTGACAGCTTCCATCTTCGGCTATGCCTACGGTGGTTTGTCAGGGTCACCAAAACAAGAGAGATCCGGGGGAAACATGTCTGTTGATTGTGAATCCCCATATCGTAGATTATGTACTTTGGGACATACGAGTTTAGTAATCACCCAAAAGTGGCCAAACACAGCAAACTGGAAACTTTGAGGAGGCAGAGAGGAGGTGGAAAGAAGGGAGAACAGATTTAAGGAGCAAGGAAGCATGGAGCCTGATGCCAGGAAGCCAAACAGAGGCCAAAGTTTCAAATAAGAGAAATCCCCCAAATCAAGCCAACAGTCCCAAGACAATAAAACCAATAAAAGACAGATGAAGAGCGAGAATGGAGTCCAAAAGACAAAGCAATTCTGAAATTAGGAAGAGCAAAATCTTTTTACAGGCATAAGGGAGGGAACAGCCCAGATGAAACTCTGCTGGATGCCCGCTTGGTGTCTCTGCTTCTTCTGGGACTCCATGCTGACTCTATGTGTAGCTGTTTCTCCTAAGCTTAAGTGAAATGAAGCAAAGCACTTGGCGCCATATCTGCCAGAATGTGTGTGCTCCATCTGTGCTTTTTGTTGTCATCTTTGAGAGTGCTTTGTTGCTAATAAGAGCTTCAGGTTGCTTGATGCGCATGTGCCTGACTCCAGATTTTTTTGTTGTTGCTCTTTTCTCTCCCACCAAGAATACAATTTAAGTTGTGGGGCTTGCAACCTTATTACACATAGCTCAATCTTCTCTCCAGCTCTCACTCATAACAGTATTAGGAGAATTATGGCAGTGAATAATGGCATATATAGGGAGGAAGGAAGAGCCTCTACAAAGTGCACTTTATCAGGGAGAGGACGTCGACACACAAGAATTATTAATTATATCTACTGTGAGCCACAGTTTCAAGAGAGCAATGTTAAAGAAGTAAATCCATTTTCCAGATATTTTCTCCTACTCTGTGGCCTGCATTTTCTTTTCTTAACAGTGTCTTTTGAAGAGCAAAACTTTCTTTTTATTGATGGAGACCAATTAATCAAAATTTTTTATGGTTTGTGTTTTTTTGTATCTTAAGAAATTTTTGTCTAACCCAAGATCACAGAAATTTTCTCCTATAAATTTTACAGCTTTAGCTCTTACGCTTAGGTCTATGATTCATGTCAAGTTAATTTTTGTAGGTAAGACAAGGTGTGGATCAAGACTCATTTTTTTGTTGCTTATGGTTGTCCAATCGCTCCAACGTTATGTATTGAAAAGACTGTCATTTGCCCATTGAGTTGTCTTGAAAGCTTGGTCAAAAATCAATTAACTGTGGGCGCCTGGGTGGCTCAGTTGGTTAAGTGACTGCCTTCGGCTCAGGTCATGATCCTGGAGTCCCGGGATCGAGTCCCACATCGGGCTCCCTGCTCGGCAGGGAGTCTGCTTCTCCCTCTGACCCTCTTCCCTCTCGTGCTCTCTATCTCTCATTCTCTCTCTCAAATAAATAAATAAATAAAATCTTTAAAAAAAAAATCAATTAACTGTATATGTGTAGGTCTATTTCTGAGCTCTTTATTCTGTTCTTTTGATCATCTATCTTTGCATCAATGTCATGTTGTTTTGATAAATCCATTCTAAACTGGCATTTTAAATAAGTATGCAACCCATACTTAGCTGAGCGTCTGTTGTCAATCAGGCATTTAGTAAAGGCTTTGCTTACTTCAATCCTGTGAGGTAAGAATTACCACCATTCCATAGATAAGGAAACAGAAGGTCAGAAAGGCTAAGCAAATTGCCCAAGGCCAGACCAATAGTAGTAGGCTCAGGATTTGAACCTAGGTCCATACAATTTCAGAACCCATTCTCTTTTTCCTACCCTTTGCCTCACGCAATGGGAATCAGGAAAGGGACTGAGAAAAAGTAGGGAAAAATAGAAGATGGGTATTTTTCCAACTTTTTTTGAGACTTCATAAAACTTTCTTTTAAAGAGTGAATTCCTGGGGTGCCTGGGTGGCTCAGTCAGTTAAGCGTCTGTCTTCAGCTCAGCTCATGATCTCAGGGTCCTGGGATCCATGCTCAGTGGGGAGTTTGCTTCTCCCTCTACCCCTCCCCCACTCCTGCTCTCTCTCTCTCTCTCTCTCTCTCTCTCAAATAAAAAAAAATCTTGTAAAAAAATAAATAAATAAAAAGTGAATTCCTATGTGGCCAGACATAAATACAAGTGTGTATTTACAAACTGACTCAAGCATAAATGCAAACGTGCAACTGCAAATTGTTTATTCTGAATTCATGCTATCAAAAACTTTGGAAGCTATACCAACCTTAGTATGTTCTAGAAGTTATCAGTGAAATAGTCATATTTTTATCCTTTCTCCATATTGTCCGTAGTAAAACAGTTTCCCTTTTGTTTATATTTGTAGCTGATTTCTGGTCTTGTTTTGATTTTTTTTCCCCCTACACAATCCTGACCCACAACCTTCTCCAAAGCTTTGAGTATTTCAACTTCCTGGTAACGTCATTTTCACCAAATGATCCTGGCCACACATCTCTGAAATTATGTTAGCAGCTTCTGTGACTAAACAAAGTCGGTGCTGGGATAAGAACGTGGTGGTGAATCTCATCAGATTAAACGTAAGCCTGGAGTCCAGAGATCTGACCCCGCTCGGCCTCCCCCGTGCTACGTGACTGGCTAAATTACATCATTTCTCTGTGTTTCAGTGTTGGCCCCTCAGGCATGTCAAGCCTAGGATAATTAATTGTCTCCAGATACTCAGAAATGTCCCATAATCCAGGAGGATAGCCATCTTCAGAGTAAGGAACAGAACAGAACAAGATATGGAATAACTAGGCTGCAGGACTGGCAGAATATTGCCAAATGCAACTCTCGGTGTCCACCCCTGATGTTGCTTTTCCCAGAAACCCTTTCTGAAAAGTTGTGTCTGGGAACTCTTTCTGTGGTCATCCCTTGTAACGCCCTGAGTCACCCTCCCTAGACACATACTTTGTAGCATTCCTAGCACTTGGAGTAAAACAAGACTGGGTATCAGCTGGGGCTCAGCAAGACCCCCAGATCCCCCTAGAACACCAGCTGTGTCTCAGGGGATGTGAAGAGTTAGGATGCAAGGACTCAGAACTCTTAAAATTGGAGAATGCCTGATAATGTTTTCCTTAACTTGCCCTTGTTATTCATTCAAACTCTTTTTCTCCTGGAACTTAATTAGCAAACACTTGCATAGTGCCTGAAATGTCTCAGGAACTGCTATAAACACTTTACAAATTTTTTCTTATTTAATCTTCCTAAAAATCCTGTGAGATAGGCTCTAGGATCATCCCTATTACATGGATAAGGAAACTGAGGCATGGAGTGGTCCGAGCAGCCGCCCCCAGGTCACACGGCTAGTACATGGCAGAGCTGGCCTTGGAACCCAGAGCTGAGATTTTGAACACAGAGTCTTTGAGTCTCACCACTACACCACATGGCCCGTTCTAGTTACTGAGTGTCCCAGGCACAGCACCATGCCCTGAATCTGTACGAGGTGAGAAAAGAGAGTCTCAATGTCTCCTGCAGCCTGCAACCTGCTGGACACAGAGATCTGGGGTCATACGCACACCTGGAAAAATCTGAAGGGTGAGAGACCGTGTCCAGTTCTGGCTCTGGAGAGAGGCTGTTGAGTAAGGAAAGCTCATGCTCCCCGAGTTTGTCAGGAGAAAAGATCTGGGAGTGTTTCTGATAGGCCAGAGGTGGGCCACACAGGAGGGAGCACCCAGACCTGGGATACGGACTAGTTCCTGCCCAAGATGGCAGCCCAAGGGCTGAGGGAAGAGATTCGTTCCCCCACATCCAAAGAAAGTGCCTGGAATGAGGACAGAGCCCGTGGTCCTACCCAACAGTGGCTTTCAAGTCTTCCCAAGGCCCAAGGGGAGGGGAGCACTCAGGGAGAGGGAATGACAGAAGAAGTTTTAACTGTAAATGAACTTGAGAGGTTCTGACCATCATGTGGGAATGAACGTTTTAATTACCAAACTGAGGCTGCTTGGGGAGACTAGAACAGTCAGAGGATTTTTTGTTACCTAAGAGGGACCAGAAAGGTCGTGGGATCTGCTCCTAGACTTCCACCCTGGGGCAGGGGAGGAACTGGCCCCAGAGAGTGAGTCTGAAGAAGTAACGGGACTCATCATAAGGGTTGCCTTGTGATGAAACCCTGCAAGCCTTACCTGTTTATCAGGAAATTGCACGTGCGGAACGCTGGCCCCAGTGACTGCAGCTAGCGAGTGTCTGCTTATCACAAATATTAAACAATGTTAGAAAAACACAAAAAGACAACATTTGGGGAGCTCCAGGGCAGGATCTATCTTAAATTTAAGTTGAAGAACAGGAAGTCATTGTTCACTGTTTCATTCCGAGCACCTAGAGCAGAATAATAGCAAGAATGTGCCAGGGACTCTTCACAGACTTTCTTATCTAGTTTCCACAAGAGCCCAGTGTGGGCTGTTCCGAGCAGAACTGTATAAATGTAGAGAATGGAGTCTGAGAAAGCGAGTAACTCATCCTGCTCCCACAGCAGGACATAGCAGACCTGCAATGGGCCATCCTGCCTCCCACTGAAACCACGCCAGACACGTACTCCATCCCTGGGACGCACACTGCTTGGCTGTCGGTCACTTCCTCTGGCCCTAGCTAATCAAGGGGTCAGGACTGGCTTTGGAACACCATGGACCAAGGGTGTTCATGAAGGGCTTCGGCAAGTCCAACCGAGGAAGGCAAAGCTGACAGTCTTTTTAAAAAAAAGTTTTATAGCCCTTAAAAGTTTTTCTTAAACCCTCTAAGTAACAGATTATAACACGGGGCCCAATAAAAGCTGAGAGGTGGACTATAGTTAATAATACAGTATTATATACTTGACAGATGCTGAAAGTAGATCCAAAGCGTTCTTCCCACAAAAAAAGAAAAGTTAACCGTGTTAACTATGTGAGGTGATGGATGTGTTAATTATCTTGCTCTTGGTAATCATTCTACCATGTGTATGTATATCAAATCATCATGTGGTACACTTTAAATATATATTTAATATATATGTTTAAACATATATTTAAATAAATATATCTGCCCGTTATTCTTTAATA